GTTCTAATGTTGTTACAAATTGCACATTTTGTAGTCTAATTAAATTACTCATTGATTCATAATATAAATGTATCGATGGAACTTATTTGTGAAACATTGATAGGATTTTAGATAATACAAGTCACACTTGTATTTGTATGCTGGATATTGTGAAGATATTATAAATAACTCTTAAATTGCTTTGGTATTTCTTCAAATTGTACAAAATGCGATTCAAGCCTGAACTTACCACTGAATAATTAAAATAGATGTGTTTGTAAATCAGACATTTTAATCTCATTACTTAATAATGTTAAGGTAAATTTTATAACCAATTTAAGTTTTGTGATTAAAGTTGAATAGTATGCTTAACTTGTGAATTAATGATTAGATATTTTGATAACGATACATCAAAATGTTATGCAAGGATGGCTATAATGAAAATTAACTAAAAAAATTCAAGCAAATGTTACTTATGTTACATTAATTTTCTTCGTACTATAAATCAAAATACATATTTAGTTTTTTAACTAATATCAAGATATTTGCATTCCAGGGTATTTTGATAATGGTTATTTAATAGGTGAAAGTATTTATCTGATTAAATTAGAATTATCAAATTCTTGCTACACTAGTTAGAATTAGACAGATTATTGCGTAGGTTGTGAAGATAATTAAAATAGATTAACATTAATCTATTATTCATTAATGTCCTTGTATTTCTAATTTTTATTAAGATATATGTAATAAATGTTGTACTCTATGAAAAGTTGTGAAAATAATCTGAAAAATTGTCTTAAATGTTTTAGTAAGAATAAATCCTCCTAATCAATTTTGAGAATGTGATTTTTAATGTTAATAATACTAACATTATGCAACAAATTGCCTAAAATAAATAGATTGAAATTAATGTTTAGTAAAATCCACTTAATCTTATCTGATAAAATGATTGTGACTCGATAGCAATGCTTGTTTTAACATAATAAACTAGATCACTATATCTAAATTAGGTATAAGTCCAAAATGTGATATCGATCCAAATAATCAACAATAATTAATATTGAATCTTGATCGCAACCCCATTTTATTAATTCTCTGCCAATTTAATGGAACAAAGAAGCTGTAAAAATATTCTGATTCAAATACTTACATCCTCTGTAAAGATTTAGATTTTTAATACGATTGGACCGAAGATTAAGATTTGTCGATAAAGTTCAGTTGTTTAGGTCTATTTCATAAAATGAATGTAATGATAATAGAATAAATTATAAATTAACTCTACTTAAACAAGTTAGAATTTCCATTCAAGGTTTAATCTTGGAAAGTGATTGCTATAAAATAACTATTTTATATTTAGAATTTGATTCCAAGATCCTCAATATTTATTATATTAATGGATATTTGTTAACAACTCTTAAGAGATAAAATTTACATTTAAAATACCGTTATACGATAGATAATACATTTTAAATTATTAAATAGCAATAATTTATGATTTTCAATTAATTTCAAAATATATATTGATTTATTTTCACAATCTACCTTGTTTATCCCACAATACTTTTAAATAGTATAATTTTAATGTGAATAATGTAATACATGAAATAAATTGATCTTAAATTTTGAGCATAATCTACTAACGATATAATCCTAAACCTTAAAATATCTCTATCATTCCTTACTAGACAGAATTAAGCTTAGTGTTAAATTGACTTCCACTTTGTAAATTTTAATAGCTTGGATAGAATATGAAAGTCTTTTCATTTAAAGATGATTTTGAAGAGTTTCAAAATAAAACATCAAATAATTTGCTCCTTTTCCAAAGTTCTAAAATAGAATAATATTTTCCTAATTCTGAAATACATATAATTTTTAGTTCAAATATAAAAGATGATCTATTGCAAAAATTCAAAAAATCCTAGATATATCACAAAATCAAGCCTTATGAACTTTTTAAGCTCTAGATCAAATAATTTAAAGAAAAATTGCATGGTAATTTGAAATAATTATTAATCATTACGAAATTTGAACTGTGCAAAATTTAAAGATTAATTTTTTAAAGTATGTTGAAATAGGAATATTTTGGATAATATATGAAAAATTATAGCCTATTAGAAAATCAATCTATACAAAGTTTAATAATAAAATAAAAGGCTTCAAACTCTTCAATGAGGTTTTTAGATAAAATTAGGAGGAATATCAATTTATATACAATTCATTGAATTGAAAAAGACTCATTTTATTCTGTGACTAATTTACTTATATGATATTTTCATAATCCTTTAACTAGATTAGATATTAATAATTTATAGGGTATAATAAAACAACTCTAGTTGCAGTCTTCCATAATAACATAAATTATTGCTAAGGTGAGAAATTTTATCCTCTCATTTAATAAACCATTTGATTTATTTAATTTAGTTTAATATTTGAAACTTGTTATATAGACAATTAAGGTATTTATTAACGTGTTATAAATATCCCTTATGATTTTATGAGATCCAATACAACGAAAATCTAATATATCATACAATATTTTCCAAATTAGCAAATAAAAATTTATAGAAATAATCATTTATGTGGCAAGCTAATCCGATATCTTCTTATCAAATTCTTTCTGAAATATTATGATAATCCTACTAATTAAGAATTCATTATCCCAAGTATTTTATTCTTCTATCTAGGAGAATTAAATTATAGGAAGAGTTCAATGTGATTGCAGTTACAAATAATAAGCCTAAATAAATATATTAAAGACTGCATGATGTTTCAATATAGTGCTAAAAATAAGTTAAATTTCGCAAAGGTTTGATTTAATTCTATTAAATCTATTATGTTGGATTTCCTCCAGATAAACATTGTTCCTTTTGCCTTTTCTTTTCAATCAAACTTTCAGTTAATAGGAGTGATGATGCATTCCCTCATCTCAGT